TTGAAGGCCCATCCCGTGTGATGATTGGAGCTGCAGCTTTTATGGAGCTCAGCAAGGAAAGCGAGCCAATAAGGTGAGCCCTAATCTTACAGGACCCACATCCCCAGAAGAAGCTGCTGTCTTTTAAAGTCTTACAGAGACATGTGAGGGGTGACCTTCCACAGCCTGGGCACGTGGTGAGGGGTGACCTTCCACAGCCTGGGCACGTGGTGAGGGGTGACCTTCCACAGGCTGGGCACGTGGTGAGGGGTGACTTTCCACAGGCTGGGCACGTGGTGAGGGGTGACCTTCCACAGCCTGGGGACGTGGTGAGGGGTGACCTTCCACAGGCTGGGGACGTGGTGAGGGGTGACCTTCCACAGGCTGGGGACGTGGTGAGGGGTGACCTTCCACAGGCTGGGGACGTGGTGAGGGGTGACCTTCCACAGGCTGGGGACGTGGTGAGGGGTGACCTTCCACAGGCTGGGGACGTGGTGAGGGGTGACCTTCCACAGGCTGGGGACGTGGTGAGGGGTGACCTTCCACAGGCTGGGCACGTGGTGAGGGGTGACCTTCCACAGGCTGGGGACAGGGTGAGAGGTCACCTTCCACAAGCTAACTAGAGTCTTCACCAGAACCTGAATCTGGCAGTACCTTGATCTGGAACTTGTAGCCTTCAGCACTGTGGGAAAGAAAGTTCTGTTGTTTAAGCGAAGCAGCCCATGGTGCTTTGTTAAGCTTGGCCCAGCTGACTGGTCCACTTTCTGTGCCCCGTGGATTTAAAAGTCCACGTTTGGGGAGGGGCAGATTTGACAGGATTTTTCTCAGCATGTCTAACTGCCTTCTGTCTGATGGTCTCCTTACATGTTCTCCCCCTCCTACGCAGCATAGTTGACCGTGGCCTTTCACCTGGTGGCTGCTGACCTGATGAGAGGCCGCAGGGGTTTCTCTGCTCTGGTTCTGCTGAGTCATAGGGGACAGGGTGTGTCCAGTGACTCATCCCTTGTTGTGGTCATCAAACTCGGGCTTGTGGCATTGACAGGTCTCCTCCGAGAACTTCCTTTCCTTTAGTAGTCAACAGATTTCATGTCAGGACGGAGGGTGGCACCCGGCTTCCTGTTTGTCCTTGATGCTACCCCACATAGTCCCCCTGCCCAGAGACTTTTCATCTCCCCACCATAGTGTACATCAGGTTCTCAAGATGTGCTGTCCTTACCCCAATGGTCTAACCATGTTCCGGGGGAGGGGCTTTCCGCTTGGAGTCTGCGCGCTTTCCTCGGAGGCCTGCTTTTCTGGGTCTCTGTCTTGCCCTGCCCAGCCTGTTTCTTGGCAGCATAGGAGAGAGGCCCTTTGAGAAGGTGCTGCAGATGTCTGCTCCTGGGCCGGCTCTGTGTCTCTGTCCCATCCTGGCCTCTCCAGCCAGTACCTATTTCTGAGAAGTTTTGACAGGATCGCCCTTGCCGCCTTGTGAGCTGTTCCGTCTCCGAATGCCTCTGCAGCTGGTCTGTGCTCCGCCCTCTGCAGTGGAGTGTGTCTTTCCTTTGGTTTCATGCTTATTGCTGATGGTCTCAGCGTCGGGTTTCAAGGGAAGCTGTAGTTCTAAAGGTTCCTGGCTCTTTCTTAGGAAACGCTTGCTATAATACACTGTAGGTTTCCAGTGTGTTCGTCCTTTCTGCTTTTTAGATAGTATTTCTTCGTTTTAATTTAGATATTTAGGCTTCTTTTTTTTTTTTTTTTTGAGACAGGGTCACCCTGTAGCCTCAACTGGCCTGGAATTCACTATGTAGACCAGGCTGGCCTTGAAGTCACAGAAATCCACCTCCCCTGCCTCCCGAGTGCTGGGATAAAAGGTCCCACTACCCAGCCCTCTCCTCTCCCTCTTATTTTCAAGATTTTTTAAATGCCTTTTTTTCTTTTATTTGTATGAATGTTTTGCCTGCATATATGTACCTCATGCATGCAGTGCCTGTGCAGGCCAGAAAAGGGTGTTGGAGCCCAGGAACTGGAGTTAGGGATGGTTGTTAGCCACCATGTGAGTGCTAGGAACTGCACCTGGGTCTTCTGCAAGAGCAGCCAGTGTTCCAAACTGCTGAGTTGTCTCTCTAACTCCTTCCTTTTCTGAAAAAAAAATTTTAATTATTTTGATGTGTCATGTATGCAGTGCCTGAGGAGGCCAGAAGAGGGTGTCAGATCCCCTGAAGCTGGAGTTACAGTTGTTAGCCTCTATGTGGTTGCTGGGAGCTGAACTAATTTTTTTTTTTTTTGCCAGAACAGCTAGTGTGCCTAACCAGAGAGCCATCTCTCCAGTGCCCCCCACCCCTTATTTGGAGACAGTGGTCTTCAATCCACTCAGGCTGGATTGAAGTCACAGTGGAATCCAAGCAGACCTTGAACTGTGATTCTCGGGACTCAGCTTTCCCAGTAGCTAGGACTACAGGCTTACACCACAGGCCCTGCTTGCTACTGGCCTTTCTCCGTGTCCATTGCCCTTTTCTTTGTAATTACTTGTCGACTTACCCCGTTGGTTTTTATTTAAAATACTGTTTTTTTTTTTTCCAGTTCTGGACTTACCTTCATTCCTCTTCCAGTGTCTTCACTTTACTGTAACTTCTGTAGCCTGTATAGGGTTTTTGTTGAACATTCTTTCTTCCTAATTGCAATCATTTGATCATCTTGTCAGCTAATCCCTGTTCTCTTGACTATGCATCCATTCTCCCTGAGTGTCTGCAATGTCTCGTACATTGCTGTTGAATGTCGACATGTTCTTTAAAGTACACTGGTAAGTGGAGTGGCTGCTCGTTCTGTGCTTCTCTGTAGAGTGTGTCTTCTCTTTGCAGCGCCCAGGTGAGCTGTGCTGCATTGTAGGTTTGGCACATTGGTCAGTGGCTCTGTCTCCAAGGCTCCTTCTTTGTTGTCCTGGCATTTGAAGCTTGCTGGTTGGAATTTAGCTTCAGTTTCCGATGGTTCGGAGTTACATCCACACGAGAACGCCTGGGATAGCTACCTTTTGCTCTCAGAAAATTTGAGACGTTCTCTGGAGTGAATAGTGCAGAGCCCAGCAATCTGTCTCATTTGATCCTTCGTCTCTGACCACTCTGCTACCCCACACTGCCGGCTGCCACCTCCCTGATTTCTTCTTGCAAATAAAATAACGTTTGGGAAGCTCACCTTTCTGTAAAGCTGATGCCGGCCCCAGGTGGAGGCAACCGTGGGTCTCTGCTTGTGTTGGTGCCGCAGCTTTCCTGGAACCCATCCCAGGTGTCTGGCCTCTGCCACTCTCCATAACTGCTAGTGTAGAGCCTTTTCTTTTCTTTTCTTTTCTTTTCTTTTCTTTTCTTTTCTTTTCTTTTCTTTTCTTCCTTTCTTTTATTTTTTTTTGAGACAGGGTCTTCCTGTAGCCCCAGCTGGCCTGGAACTCACTACATAGACCAGGCAGGCCTTGAACTCACAGAGATCCACCTGCCTCTGCCTCTCAAGTGCTGGGACTACAGGTGTGCTAGATAGCTTTAATGTCAACTTGACACACCTGGGTTGAGGGAGCCTCAGTTGGGGAATTGCCTCTATTGGACTGGCCTGTAGCCATGACCATGGGGCACCTGCTTGATTGAGTGATGTGGGAGGGCCCAGCCCACTGTGGGTGGTGCCACCCCTGGGCAGGTGGGCCTGTGTTGCATAAGAAAGCAGGCTGAGCA